TCCTTGGACTCAATCTTCTATTATTATACATACCAATCATTATTATTGTATAAAACGTATGAATGTTGGTATTAGGCAGTGCAAGTGCAAGTAGTTTTGATTTTGTTTTTTGTTTTTTGGAAATTACCTTCATGTTTATATGTAATAGAGTGATGAATATACTATAATTTTGGCTAAACATAATATTGTCAATATTTGATATGTTAAAGTTTAAGTTATAAATGAAAAAGTATTTGGTTTATGATTTCAAATTGAATTCTAAGGGATATGTGAACTATATTGGAATGTTTTTTTGATTTGATAAAATTTTTAAAAGTAAATATTGCAAATAAAATGCACAGTGAAGGAATATTGTAGGGAGAAAAGAATAGCTTGGTTGCTGAGTGTTGGGTCATGCGTGATGTTCAGTTCATGTAGGTCACTGCATTGTCAGAAATCTGATAAAATTTTGCAGCAAGGGAATATATTCCTGGGCAGAGTAAATTGTTGGATATGTATTGCAGTAAAAATGAGACAGACCAGTCTTTTTTGTCGAGAAGCAGGTTAATAATAAACTGATTATATATTTAATGAAGGATTACATATGTAAGTGGATATCCGTCCACCATAAAAGTACAGCAGAAAGATATTGTACCAAGGGAAAATCTTCTCAATTCCATCACTACTAAAGATTAAAACAGCAAAGCTTGTCTGTGATTCTGGAATGAAGACAAGCGTATCATTATGCTGCAGATGATGGTCCAGAACAAACTTTCTCCAATTTTGTTTGAGTCGGTTGCGCTTTATTCCAACTTGAGTGATGTTGTTGCCAGTTTTTAGAACTATAGTTGGAGTTCTGTTACCATTTAAAAAGTGATCGACAAACCGAGGGAGTTTCTACAAATAAGAGAATGTAAGTTAGTTAATGAAGAAGGGTAAATTATTCTGCCGGAGGAAAGGTGTTTAGAAACGGTGGATAGAAAAGAAGATTACCAAGGAATTTGGATATGCTGAGTCAAATGTCTGATAAAAGCAGATTGAATTGGATAGATCTTGAGAGAAATCCAGGCTTAGTGATGAGGAAACAATTTGCTGATGAAGTGATAAAAAGGTAGGATCTGACAAGACGAAAGAATAATATTGTAAAATATAGTAAGTGGTATATACAGACTGCTAAATTAGAAAGGGAAATATAACTTGTGAACCTATACTGCTTTGCTGATGCAAAAGATTCGGTAGGGAAACTGTCCAACGGAGATAGACTTGTTTTTTCAGTTCACAGAAATGAATGATATCAAAAATTAGATCTCCAGCATGGCGAAGCAATAGCATATCATGCTCTTTGGTCATGTTGTGGTGACAATATTCTATCCATCCTTCTTCAAAGCTGCTATTTCTAACTGAGATAGTCCATCGTTGCAATCCATGTCTGAAGGTGATTGTAGTGTCATCGTGTTGGCTCAGCAATATTTGAAATTCAACAGGCAAAGGCTGTATGTTGCATAAAAAGGAAGGTCATGTTTGAACGCAAGTTGAAGAATAAATCATAAGAAATCTATAACATTGGAGACAAATATTATTACCTGTCCTTTGTTTTTGCATCTAATAAAAAAGCAATATGTTTGTGGAGCATTGTTCGTGCTGTGAGAGGAATTCATAGAAACGGTAGATGTTTGTGCCATGAAGGTGTTAAGACGAATGGATGAGAGCAGTTGGTCAGTGTAGTTGGATAAGTGTGAGCTATGAAAGCATAAAGAAAGAGATTTGTAGTAAATTGTAAGCAAAGGCATGCACATAGTAAGAAGGAATGGAAGAGGAAACAGACTTATATATATATACTATCAAGTGATTCCTGTTTATAGCAGCAGAACAAATATAATTGGTTGCGTGTTGGGCCAGTAGTTTAGTAGATGACAATGCTGATGTTCAGAGAAGTACATATTATAATTGATACTATATTTGTTATATCCACTGAATAATTAATGCAGAAGGAGATAACTCTTCAGTAAAATTGTGACTAAAGTGTTCTGGTGTAACTGAAGGGTAATGAGCATCGGATTGAAATGTAAAGGTGGAATAGCTGGAAAAAAGTAAATGACAGTAAAATGTCCTGTTAGAACAGCAATGGAACAAGACATAAAAGTTATTTTCATTTTAGCTGCAAGTTCCAACAAAGGGAATCAAGCACTGGCAGCATAGTTCCCCTAGGAGAATAAACCATCAAACAAAATAAAGTTCAAAGGAAGGGGATCAGGCATGGGTAGCGTGGTTTCTGAGGCAGAATAAGGCGGTGAACAAAAAGCAATTGATAGCAATATACAGTACAGCTACCTATTCGGAGTTATTAACACAAAAGGAAATAACACCAGTCTACATGAGCCTGGACTTCTTCTTAGAGCCTTCACTGACAGAACAGGAAGTATTATTGGCTTGATCAGCTAAGAGTTCCAATTTTTGAGTTAAACATTGTCTAGCCTTGGAAGTTGGTTTGGTTTCTTGAATAGCTGTGGCTCCTGTAAGAAAATCAAATTTGTTAACAAAGGCGAAATAGTAATATATGTCTATATACGCTACATCTAATAATGATAGATGAATATATAGTCAATTGTATAATAGAATTAGAAGAACAAAGGAGTTTTTGAACAGATGTTTATGAGGCATTATTATTTGACCTGAGAAGGAAATGGAGGTTTTATTAATGTCATAGATACAATTAAATGTTACTGCTAAACAGTTAATACCTGAAGTGACGATGTCAGTGGTGTCAGATTGCAGCTCGATTAACAAAGTAGGATTTTTGGATTCAGCATTTTTAGATTCAGCAGGGGAATCAACAGCATCACTATTGAGAAGTTCAGAATAGTAGATAACTGTATAGCGTTGTTTTGCATCAGACATTTGAGCCTGCACTGGTTTTATATGTATGAGAAACCACTTGGACTCCAACTCCTTATGGACAGCCTCCAGAGGGAGCTCAATGTTCTATAAAAGGAAAATATGGACGGGAAAAATAGGTGAGTGGATAAGCATTATATTCACAATGCAGAAGTCTGCTACAATAACAATTAAATGGAAGGGATAATAATTTGACAGTTATTTTTTGCAAGGAAAACAGGCCTGCTTAAAATGGTCCATTATTTCAAGAGCAGTGAACTTTAGCAGCTTTTCAGCTTGTTCTCCAAAAACAGAAGCTGTGATGGCACCAGTATCATCACATAAATCCATATCAAAGCGACACCTATAGATGTATGTAAATTTGAGTGAGACATATGTGTTAAAGAAGAGTTAGCAATAAATAAGTAGAATATATACATTAATGAATTTCAAAGTAAGTACCTAGGCTGAGCAGGATGTTTTTCTTTGCACGTATTACACATAAAAATAACTCCATCTGCAGCAGCAGTGCCCCGACAACATTTTTTACAGCTCATATACCAGTATTTCTGGAATATGTGCTGAAAGGAGAACCTTGCTTTAACCCATATATTCTAAAAGACAGCAATGGAAGCCACAGTGTTAACTTATATGTTAATATGTAAATGGATAGTTAAATGACAGATTAGATGAAGAAATGCTGAAACCTTTTGTGATGGTCTGACATTTGAAATCAAAATGGTTTTTTGATCTGGCTTTGCAGATATCTGAGGGTTATACTTAATATAGCTTTTTTCATCAATGATTGCTGCAAGTAGTTTGGTATTTCTGATCGCCCTGGGATAGAGGAAACAAAAAAAATAATCAAAACAAGTGATTATATATGATTGATTGCTAACATGATATAAAGCATTAATCAATACCAGTTCTTTAATTCTCTTGCTTCCTGTACAGGAGGATCAACAAGGATTGCAGAATCAAACCATGTCGACAGCGCAACTCCTATACGATTAAGAATGAAGATACATTGGGAAATTTTCTGTATCAGATTTTTTACAAAAATGAAAATTAAAATAAAGATGTATAGAGGGAGAATTACCATTATAGTTGTTAACTTTGAGCCTGCGACATATGATGACAGGGTAGTTGCCTATTTCAGCTATTATCTGTTGCCCTTCATTTTTGATGAAATCATCCCACATAGAAAGCATGACAGCTTGTGATCTAACATGAAGGCAATAGGCAGCTGTTAAGACATGTAACAGATAGACGTTGAATTATAACAGAATTAACTAAGAGTGTGGCAAGCGGCAGAAAGGGCCGGTTACTGTTTATTGACAAGGATGAATTTCTGAACAACTGATTCTTTGAAATGTTTATTAATGACCCTTCTGTCCTGTGCTTCAATAACTATTCCAAGGACATCTGTGAAAGGAAAAAGTTGTTGTAAAAGCTGTCCTGATTTGAAATGCATGATATATGTCTAACACAGAACATACATACCTACAGATTTATCTTTACGATCCACATACTGTGCCAAGTCTGTGAATTGAGTATAGTTAAATTTGACAGGCATTATATCTTCATCATCGGCATCCTCTTCAATGACAGTTTTACTAGTGAGGATCCACTGCATTGTTAGTTCAGCCGTTTGATATTTTGAGTCGATTGGTCTAACCACAGCATTGGTTATTTTGTACTTTTTGTAGACCTGCAGGATTGGTCCGACCCTAGAAATATCATGGTTGAAAATAATGCCCTCAACCTTTGATCCCTATTTCGTAAGTGAAAATGTTCAAGAATGAATCAGGTGTGATTATGAATATAATATAAAGAGAAACTTTAAATATAGAAGTTGTATTTATCTACCTCTGTATCAACAAAAATAAGCTTTTGCTTCTTCGTCGGCGTTGACAGTGATTGGGTAATCTGCTGTTTTTCCTGAACAATAACTTTGCATGACCAGTCTTGCATATCAGGCACAATTTCTTTTATGGATAAGAGCTTCTCCATGCTATATGGAAACCAATAAAGAGAATATCTATCAAATGTCAGTATGAATAAGGAATGCCATTGCAGACATTATAAGAACAAAATAATAATTATGGCTAACTAACCTTAAATATAAATAAGTCTAACATGCAGTCCTAGTGTTTAGTTAGTCGGAGTATTTCTTCAAAGACAACATTTCTAGTCCTGCAATCAGTTTTTATGCCATCAAAAGTTCCAGGCAGGATAAGGACTTTAAGTGCTGCAGAACTTTTTACTCTGGATAAAGCAACATATAATTGGCCGTGAGAAAAAACTGGCTCGCGAAGGTAGATTCCAACGTAATCCAGTGTTTGGCCTTGGAATTTGTTAATTGTCAGAGCAAAACAGACACGGACAGGAAATTGTGTCCTTATAAATGGCAAGCCATTCTTGTCATTATCAGAAACTTGTAAAGGAATTTTAGGCAGAAAAATTCTTTTGCCTCGATGTTGGCCAAAAGCTATCTCTGCGCAGATAGTATTCTGCTTTAGCTCCCTGCAAATGAGTCGCGTTCCATTGCATAATCCTTCTGTAGGGTTCAAATTTCTTATAAGCATGATTGGACAATTTTCTTTGAGTAGCAACTTGTGAGGAGGAAGGCCTTTTGGATTTTGAGAATTCAAGAAATCTTGATAGTCTCCTTGATGCCGGGGATCAACGGTTCTATCAGAACTGACGTACACATGAAGGTTTCCAGGAAATCTTTTGATCATCATGTCATTTATTTCACCAACGGAGCTATTTTTTGGAGCAAGGACACATCTATTGATCATACTATAAGGATTTTTTGAATAGGTCATTAAATCTGGAAAAACAGATTCGACCAACCTGTTTGTAAGAAATATAAGTGAGAATGCATGAACATTCTACTAGAAAAAAATGAATAAAAGCAATACGTTGGAGGGAAAATTCTTTAACCTGTTCAAAGATTGTTCTTTTTCAATATAAGGAATGACCATGTCAGAAGGTAAAGTTATTTCGCCATGTCTATCAACAGTTTCTCTTCCTTCTCCTATTCTTAATAAGAAGTCTGAGAATGCTGGATCTAAAATGGCTCGCATATTGTGCACCAACTGCAGCTTTTCCAGCTGAGACCATAGAGGAGAGTTAGGGAGACTAGATTGTATGAGAACTTGCTTTGTAGCTTGTTTGATAACTGGCAAAGTTTGGCGAAAATCGCCACCGAAAACAACTACTTTTCCTCCAAATGGACGGTCACAGTCCATTATATCCCTAAGCAAACCATCAAAGGCTTCAATAGTTTCTCGCTTGGCCATTGAAGCCTCATCCCACAAGACTAACTTTGATTCAAAAAGTAATTTTGCAACACTGCCCTGTTTACTAATCTGGCAGGTTTTATTTCTAGAAAAATCTAATGGTATTTTGAATCTAGAATGAGCTGTTCTTCCTCCTGGAAGAATAGAGGCTGCGACACCCGACGTTGCAACTGCAATAGCAATGTAGCCTTGGGATCTTAAAGTAGCTAGAAGAGACCTATATAAGAAGGTCTTACCGGTTCCCCCAGGGCCATCAATAAAAAAACTCTGGCCAACAGGACAGAAAACTGACTGCAGAATTAAATCATAGGCATGCCGCTGTTCAGCATTTAATTTGAAAGGCATCATTAGATCTTCTGCTGGAACTTCAATATTTTTTTCACATTCAATTTCCTTTGTTAGCTGTTCATAGTGAACATCTACTGAAGTGTCTGCAGCTAGATGGTAGTCAGCAAAACTCTTACCCATTTGTTCGACAATTTTTTTAATTTCTTGCAGGACCTTATTGCTTATTTCTTCAGGTGTATTAAAACAGAGATGTTGAGATCGGTGGTAATCCGCAGAAAGATCAAGCTGGAATTTGTTCCAAAGAAATGCAGGATCTGCTGGAGAACAATGAACAAGAATAGTAGCAAATAGCAGCCTCAAAGAGGATGGCATTTGAAAAAGAACTGCTTCTTCAAGAGTTTCTTGTATATATGTGTCAGACTGTAAAAGACCAAGGCCCAAAGCAGCATCTCTAAAGCAATTCATTTTTTTGCCATCAACATTCAAGAGGTCATCAAATGACGTAGGAGCTCGAACATGAGTTAGCAGGAGTCTAAGGTAATATCTCTCTCCTTCATGAGGGCTGACGGTGACCAGCCTTCCAATGGCTCTCTTACGCTTTCTCTCAGTCCAAGTTTTAAATTTAAAAGACCAAACAAAATACTCTGGAAATTCTCTATAAAAGCACTTCAAGGTTTTAGCCGTTCCATTTGCTTTGTTCATTTTGAAGAACTCAGTCAACATGGTTTTTGAAAAGTCAATTTTCCTCATCAGCTGTAAAAGGTCTGAGTTCTTGTTGAAAGTAATCAGTTGCTGGTCAGGTAAGTGAACTTGTAGAGTATAGACAGCTGGAGTCATCTCGTTTAGCCTAAACTCAAAGATGCGCCAAAATGCTTCAGGGGGTGAAATCCATCTTCCTTGCTGGAATTCTCTAATCTCATCGACATCAGCACGGGAATCATCAGATATAATTTTGAAGCTGATAAGATCATGTCCTTTGAAGATATACTTGTATAAGTATTTGACCAACTTCAAAGTGGAACAGATTTCCACATTCATGTGACAATCAAGCAAGGCTAAAAGATATGGATTATAAGGAATGATCCATCTATTGTCAAGTTCAAACCTGCGGACAGTTATTTTGCTACCATCATCTCTTCTCCTATAGTATGGATAGCTGTCTTCAGCATGAGTTGTATGTTCACAGAAATTTTTCGGATAATGATTTTTACAGCTACCGCCTTTCATACAAGGGCTATTCTTGGCCATGTCTCCGCAAGGTCCATGAACCATGTGCTTAAGAACAAGAGAATACAAATGAGGAAACTGCTTAGGATCAGGGAGCTCAGCGGAAACTATTCTATCATATGACTCAGGATTAAGCAATTTGAATTGTGGTTTCAAGATTAATAATAAGTGTGCATGAGGAAAGCCCCGTTTTTGGAATTCAATAACATAAACGCATGCAGCAACTTCTCCAAAAATTTTTCTGTCCAAAAGTTCTGCCTTGAGCATTTCAAATTTTGCTCTAAATACTCTAGACAACAGGTCTGGCCTACCCTGAGCTCTCTCTTTAAATTGCAGACAATCTTGAATTTCTTTCCACATTGGATTACATGTCATGGTCAAGAAAATATCTGGCTTTCCATATTTTTGTACCAATGCCATTGCATCAAGATATCTGCGCCTCATATCTCTTGGACCACCGATAAAAGATGCTGGCAATATAACCTTTCGACCAACTTTTGAACCTTCGGTCTGACCAATGGAAACACTATCTAGCACTCCTTCAAGGATTTCTGTCCGAATTTCATTTTGCCTCTTACGCTGGAAATCCAGGCGCGATGTTTCAATTTTGACATAGGAATCAACCGAAAACTGCTGCAACAATCTAAGGCTATGCAATAGCATGGATTCATCATTCTTCCTGATTTGGAACCTATAGCAGTAATATTCTCTAGCTGATACAGTATGCTCATCCTTTTTTGCATGGTCAGCAGCTATAGGGAATGAAAAAAGAAGTCAACATGTAAATAAAAGTTTATTTGATAACGGTTACGTCGGAGAATTATAAAACATAGGAGATATACTTGCCTCTCTTTTCTAAATCGATAAGGTAAGATGGTTCCTGCACAGAAGAGGGATCAATGATAACCTCTTCATCACAGGAATGTTCAGTTCGCTTTCTTTTATAGGCTCGCTTAATTCCGTGGTGCCAACCAGATTCACCACGGGGAAACAAGAGAGGATACTGCAAAGGATCATAACAAGCATAATAATGCTGGACCTTGTGAGCAGTATTTGAGTGGCTATATACGAGAATATGTGCTTGCCTATTTACTGATTCATCATCATTTTCAGTCCATATAGCAGCAACTTGAGAAGTAGAAGGAAGATTATAAATACGCTGGTCAAGGCCAGGAAAGCAATTAAGCACAATATTATGCTTTTCAAGATCAGGAATATCCCTTAGATCCTTAAAGAATCTAGCATAAGGATTATTAGAAAGTATGTCCATCAAAAGCTTTAAAGTGCTCTCACGAAGCTTGTCAGAAGCAGCAACTCGGTTGATTAATTGCTCATCAGTATCAAAAAAGTAGAGATGGATTCCACAAGTTCTATTATCAGGCTGTGATAAGCTGTTTAGAAAATGATAAACTTGTCCCTGGACACGAAAGGTATATACCCCTCTTGTATTTCTTGTCAATTCTGGATCATACTTTGCAGCAAATGAAGTGAAAGACAAGTTGTTGTTGTAAGTACGAGCTAATTTTCTGAAATGGTCAGATTCTTCATCATTTCCTATAAATAGACGCTTTAGAGCGTAAGGCATAGGAGGAGCAACAATAGAAATTTCTCCTTGAGAGCAGCAGAAGCTAGGGGGCTCCAAATGGAATCTTTTAGCTCCACAATATTGACAATCAGGAGCATCAGGCAATAATAAAGATTCTTTAGGAATTTCATCAATCCTAGAGTTTTTTGAGCGACGTTGTCTAGGAAGCGTCCCTGCAGTTTAGGTTATGTAACGGGAATGATACTCAAAAGGAAGTCCAAAAGAAATCTAATATGAAAGGAATATGGATGGAAAAGTCACGAATATGACAAACAATGAAAGAGCAACCTGTTTGCCTCTTTGCTGGCAATATAACGGTTGAACAATTTGTTGCATTGGCTGTAAAACCAACAGGAGGAGCAAAGGATGTGCTGGCCTCATTTGTGTTGCCTGGCAAATCATTGTATTATTTTAAACCGAACAACCGTTTGTTGCAAAAGAAAAAGGGGTTTGACAAGCTGGACGTGGAAAGAAACAAAAAGGATTAGCAAAATGAATGAATAATACCTGTAGGCTGAGAAGGGCTAAAAGACACAGGAGTGACTGTGATTGAGGAAGACACTCCATGCTCACCTAAGTCGTCTAAGCATGAAGGAGCAGAAGAACGAAGGGATCCAAGATTTGACTCATCAATAGATCCTAAGACGGCATATGTACTTTCAGTATGCAAATGACAGGTTTGTTCATTTTCATTTTGACTATGCAAAGGCAGGAGCTTGTTCTTTTTCTTTTTCCGAGAACAATTGGCTGTGGAACGTTTTCTAGAAGGACGAGAAGGCTGAACAGTAGCCGAAACATGGGGGGAGAGACAGGCCTGCTCTTTTAGCGTTGCAGTACCACTATCTACCGCAGCTTCTCTACGGTGAACCGAACGACTCATCAGAGGTGCTGCAAACCGTACAAATATATGGACTCACTTGTATGAGAATAGTACGGAGGGAAGCGAAGACAATAAAAGATGTCAACATGGGGAAGACAACTAAATAACTATAAAGGTCCTGGGGGAAGAGAGCTAGAATTTTGCGATGGTATATACCTTCAGAAACTAAACTACATTGAACTAAATGTGGGACAACAGCAGAGGAAGAAGTTCCACTAGATAGGCAGAGTGGAGCAGGGATAGTGGTAGACATATAGTCCAACGATTGCTGAAGCACAGCAGGACAACCATCAGCAACTTCATGATGGCAGCCTGGTAGCTGGTCGTTATGAGCAGGAGCAGGAGCAGATCCAGAGAAACAAACACCAGTTTCAACATGTCCGAACGGTACACTACGAACATAAGATCGAGAGGATTTGTCTTTTTCTTTTTTCTTAACAAGCCTGGCTTCACGTCTCCGTGACAAAAGTGCAGCCTTGGCATCTGGAGACATTTCGGCATAGCGCTTTCGGCGCAGAGCATTTTTATCCATTTCACTAAGATAACTAAGGAAGAACATTCCAGATACGATGACTTTGTAAGAACCGACAATAAGCATAAAAGAACATAGCAGAAACCAAGGGAAAGAACAGGAGCACATGCGAATTGGTGTAAGAAATTAAACAATCAAAGGACGAAGACATGCATGCGCACGATGTACAGTAAAAAAATGCAGGGAGCGAAAAGGATAAAGAAAGATTAAACAATGCACCAAGCAAAAACACTAAAGAAAGCATGAAGATTCTCAAGAAGCCATGCATGCTGGGGAAAATACGTAAAGTACGGAATGACCAGGAAGGAGGCAAGAAATAGTCAGCAACTAATGCAGGCAGAAGGAGGGAAAAGGCAAGCAAAACAAAGAAACAAGCATTTGACCTGCAACCAAGTTCCTGCCATAACACATAACAGAAGATCAGCTCCATAGCAGCGCCCTCGGAAGAACGAGAATGGCAGAAAATCCCAAGCACAACGACATCAAATAAAGCTGTAAAAGAGGAAATGGCAAGCACAGAAAGATGAGATATTGGAAAGAAAACAAAGAGGCGGGAAAGGTTTTTTTTTTTTGGTTTTAAAATGAGCTCACCACAATAGCAACGGCATGCATGGATCAGCATTCACAAGCACGCAAACAGGGGAAAATGGAACAAAGTCAGCGAATAAAATAGCAAATGCTGGCACAACTGATAAGCAGAAGCAGTAAACAGCAGATAAACCGAAAAGGAAAAAACTGGCGGAGATAATTACCTCGAAGCTGGACAATAGAAATGAAAGCTCCAAAAGAACAGAGAACCAAGCAGAGGGAAAAAGAGCAAACCAACCTTATAGCTGAAACAACGGAACGAAAGAGGAAAAATGATCACCGAATGCATAAACCAACCACAAAGCATGATAGCATCTGCAAAATCCAGGACAGAAAGTATGGAATAGCTTCCCAAGGCGTACGGAAGACAACGTTTTGAAAGTATAAGAGGCAAAGAAGGTACGCATGGCTGACAAGCTACAAAGTGACAAAGCATTATTTTGACATCTATAACCCAACAATAGCTAAACTAAGCCAAGCCAAAAAAAAAGTAAATAAACATGTAAGACAAGGGTAAAGAGGTAAAATAGGAGTTGTCACTTTGACCCAAATACACACTCTAACCTCACCAAAAACCTGACATTAGGTAAAATGGGAAGCAGAGTAGCATTATTATCAGCACCACAAGCCTAACACTATTATTATTATTATTGTTGATGACCAGTATGACCACTATGAGTCCGGTCTCGGGTTCCATTGAAGGAGTTGATTTTTTCCAGCCAGGGTTCGGTGGCTGACAAACGCAATCCAGAGGCCAACAATTGCAAGCAGCAGTTCACGTGAAAGGCCCATGGAGAACGACCACTTTCCAGCAAATCATCAAATGCCATGTCAGCAAACAAAACGCACCATCGGACAACTTCCTAAGCACTTAGTCTATATATATATGGTTGATAAAAGATGTTGACTTTGACTTTCTTAGTGGATTTTCTAATTCTTAAAATCATATAGTAACACTGCTCAAAAATATCTAAAAATACATTTAAAAAGCATCTAAAAATTATTCAAAAAATACATTCGGACAAACTGATCAACAATGTTTGAATAGGAGTTTATTTAAAATATTAGTTAGAATAATTATTATAACATTTTTTATGATATGATATATGTGAAATAAAAAAATTATTAAAAGATTAAATTATGTATTAGAGAATATATATGTGATGATCCAAGTAAATAATTTTTGTGCAAATAATAGCTATCCAAGCGTACAAGAGTGTCAGTTTGTTTGGATTGACATGATTTTAGATAAAATAATTTACTTCATAAATTCCAATCACCTTTTTATTTCACATACAACACATTAAAAAAAGTGCTACAGTAATTATCTCAAATAAATCATCCAAATAAATTCTTATCCAAACAAACTTGTCGACCTTAGCCCACACCTCTAATCCCTCCTTGCTCCCTTCCGCAACCCCTTCTCCCTTATTTTTTTTTTCCCTTTCATTTCTTTCCCTTTTATTTGGTGGCACGACCTACTCACATGACTCAACAAATTATAAAGTGAGGGGCAAAATGAAGAAAGGTAGCTTGGAATAGGGCTGAAGAGAAAGGGCGGAGGGAATACGAGGTGGTGGAAAGAAGCGATAAAGAATAAGGAAAAGGGGTAGGAGCGGAGCCACAGTGGTGTGATGATTGGTAACTGCCCCTCCATCTCCCTCAAATTTAACAAAATTAAATTATAATTTCAAAGTTTTCTTCAAAAATTTTAGATTTACGCCCCTTACATTTTATAAAATTCTTTCCTATGGATGAATTTACCCTTACCTTTCCATTAACTACATTGACCCCTAGAAGTACACGAACTTTTGTAATAGTAATTATTTTAATAGAAAAATAAATTTTATTCCAAAACTAAACATTGCCATTATTTTAATGGAGAAATAAGTCTTTGATCTATTTTATTTAGATACAAAGTATAAAGAGAACCATTTAAACTTAAGATATATACAATAAATTGAAATGACAACAAATTTTAATTCATTTATATTACATGTAAGAGTTGACGGTTGCTTCTTTTTGCCTGAAGTCCTACACTAGTAGAAGAGAAGGAAAGAGAGAGGTGGCAAAGGAGGACGAGAAAAATAGAGGTGGCGGCAAAATTAGGTCATTGTCTATTGAACAAGAAAAAGAATTGGTACTAGAATCAATGTGTCAAAAACAATAAACGCACGGGCCAAATTAGGATAACCCCAAAAAAGGGGGAACTAAACTCTCACTTTTTGAGAAGGAAACCAAGTCACCTGAAGAGTGACTAAGCTCTACCATCGCCACATCAACACTTCAATTCACCACCGTCGATTCCCCACTCCGACGCTAAAAACCACATCCAATCCAACGGCCCACAACGCCCACAGGTGTCTGTCGACTCACACGCCTCACCGCGCTATCCACTCGCACACGCGCCTGGGAAAGTTAACGTCTAAACCGCGTGTAGAGTGACGAATCTAAAGACTGGCGTTTTGGGTTCTTCTTTTTTAAAAGTTGAATTGAATCCAATATCCTTTTCCCCAAAACCCACCCAAAAAATCAAAAAAACGAAAGGAAGATTTTTGTTTTTTTTTTGGAATAATAAAACTTCCGACTGATATTCAATTTTTTGAGATATAATATCGTTGATATATCTTGTAATTGACATAATTGTAGGGTATAAATAGGGGAGAGATAGTGTTGATTCTGTTGAAGGAGGAGAATGGTGGCGAAATAGATCTGATTTTCGAGAAAGGTTAGTCGTTTTTTTTTTGCATTTTTTCCTCTCGAGTATGTGTGGTTCTCTGTGTGTGTAGTGTGTGTTTTTGTAGTAAAGGTACCATGTTTTGGCTGGATTGCTATTGAGAAAAGTGAAGGGTTGAATTTTTTGTTTTCCTGGTGATTTTTGTACTTAACTTTGATAAATAAATTGGAAGAGTATGGAGCTTGATGTTGGTGAATGCATTGTATATATGTTTTATTATGTTGTTTGATAAGTGTGTGTTGTGTGTGTGTAGAATGAGGGTTTTGTTTATATGGTAAAACACGAGAGGATTTATCCAGTTATTGTAACTTTTCTTGTTTTTTTTTTTTATTAATTGCAAGATTTGGTTTTTATGTGTTTTTGTTCCTTTAGTCTGGGGTTTTTATCAAAAGTTGAAATTTTTAAAGCTGTTGAATCAGTTGAATAAGTTTAATATGTGTTTGTTTGATTTTAGTGAATAGCTTCAAAGTCAAATTGTGGTAAGAAAAATTACCTTTAGGGGTCGAAGCTGTATTTTGGGGCAAAGGAATTTAAATGATGGGACATGGTGAATGACAAGGTGGAAAATTTTGGTGGTACTAGTCCAGTCAGCTAGCGTTGTTGGACAAGTGTTCGAATTTAGGCAAATGAAACTATTTTGGAGTTTAGGGAAAGTCGCTTGCATTGGATGAATGTGGAGTATTTATGTTAGTCGCGTTAGTCATCTCGTCACACGTTTCCATATTATTCGCTGTGGGGCGTGTTAGCAGTAACTTAGTGTAGTGAAGATCTTACTGTGGTGCGATTGTCTCCTTTATGTTTAACGGCCTTCTTAGTACTTAAGAGGAGATTTGCTGGAAATTTGGTTACTATTCTGGATTATGGAAAGAAAGGTGTGGATAATATGTATGCAAGTGCACACATTAGAATCCTGTTTGTCTTGAATAGGTTGTCTCAGTAATTTTTGTTGATTGGCTATGGTTGGCGCAATGTGCTTTTTTCTGGACAGACTTATGTGCATAGCGTTATGGGATTCACGGAGATTCTATCTTGTTTTGACTTTTCCTTTGGTTCAATGGCTTCTCTTTGTGTTGCTTCTACAGCATTTTGACATTCAGGAGAGACCTTAAAATGGTTTGCTTAGAGTGACTCTAAACTTTTAGGAGAGAAGCAATGGGTTTTCCCTTTTCTTGTATAGTTATGGTTTAGGACAGTGTCAATAGTTTATATCTTAGCTAGGGTGGAGCCATACATAGTACCTCCAAAAATGGAATCTAATGAAAAGGAATGTGATGTGTTGAGACAGTTATACTTGACCATGTGATGAGAAACTCTTAGGGGGGTCATGGATAGCGCACCCTGAACATGCTCTAGACAATTTTTACAAGTCCCCAGTAGAATGACTTTCATATTCTTTTTGTACAAGTTTCGTATTTCTTATGTTTCCATGTCTTCATATTCATTGTAGCAATAAGTGTGGTTGGATTGGGGATTATTTGGCATTATTTTTTGAAAAAACATTGTAGCACTTTTTTGATGTGACGTATGTGAGATAAAAAGGTAGTTGGGAAGATAAAAAGGTTATTGAAAAATGTTATGATGCAATCAAATAATTTTTAGCAAATGGGAAGCTATCCAAACGCACAATATGTTTTTAATATCTTTTGTCTTTCTTTAAGCTGTAGATTTGGGATACTTGTTTAACTTATGAAGATTTTGTTTGCATCAAGTCCATGTTTTCTGGATTTTATGGTCTACATAGCTCTTACCATTTTATTGTCCGGAAACGGTGTTATGATAATGATAGAAATGATAGTGGGTGGTTGGATTTAATCTTATCAATTATATGCGATTTTCTTCATATAAGTGTCATTGGCTTGTTTCTTGCAGGTCCCCTGAAATTATTAGCTTCTTACAGCAAAATACAATTTTGGTCAGATACTGATATAGTAATTAAGGGATGGCAGATGGAATATCAAGCTTCTGGGGTCCTGTCACATCTACTCACGAGTGGTGTGAGCCAAATTATCTCTACTCCTCCTATATTGCAGAATTTTTCAACACTCTCTCTAATTTACCAGCCATTCTTTTGGCATTGGTTGGTCTTGTGATTGCCTTGAGCCAGCGGTTTGAGAAAAGGTTTGGTGTTCTTCACATATCAAATATGATACTTGCCATTGGGAGCGCACTCTATCATGCAACATTGCAGCGCATGTAAGTATCTCGTGCTGTTGTTTTTCTTGATTGCATGGATAACTGATTTTGCTGTTTCTAGTTGCAAAAATTGCTAAATTTCCAAATTGGCTGAAATATTTTAGTTAGTTCATAACTACAAAAGCCTGCATAATAACCTCATGCTTTATCAACCAACTGGAAGACATCTGATGTAACGATGAATAGTCAGACTAGAACCTCTGTTTCGGCTAGTACGTGATGCATTTTGAAGATTGCAACATGTAGCGCTCCTCAACCTCCAAGAGCATATAGATTTAGGTCTTTCTTGAAGTTCCAGCCTACACCTGCAAGTGTCTGATATCTTCCAAGTGCTATTGTTTGAAACATGATTTCAAGCTTGTCAGTTGTAAGTTTTATAAAACTCTTAGTGATAAGAAGTGCACGATATATGCATGACATTCTTGTCGCAAGGCCTTATGTACGTGGACCTTGTTTTCTCAAACTTTGAGGAAAATTTCCTATTATCCTCATCCTGAGTGTTGGATATGTTTCCTCAGCCTCATTAAGAGTTACAACCACCAAATTTGTTTTGCCAACCTAGCTTCTGTTGACTATAATCTGGTCATTAAAGGGCTCATTTCATGCCATTCAGCATCCTTTCATCACATTACACCAACTCCTCCGTTCCAGTCATTTGTAGAGCTGGTTCTTTGTCTATTTGCCCCTGTGGCTTATTATGTCATGGCCAGTTGTAGTTGTTCCGAATGGATTTTGTGGTGTAATGCTGAGTAATTTAGAAAATCTTGATCAGCGGAAATACATCCACAGTCCTTTTCATTTAGCCTAATTTTCTGTCACTGTTTCTTTCAGTAGCGTGTGATTTCTTTCCAATTGCTAAAGTTTAATCCTTCCAAGACATGCGTATTTTTCTGGAGACTC